TGCCGTGCTGGGCTCCCGTGGTGGGGCCGGCCCGGGCCCGGCGGGACTAACAGTTGTTCTCTCTTCCAGTCGTCTCACAAGACGTTCAAGATCAAACGCTTCCTTGCGAAGAAGCAGAAGCAGAACCGGCCTATCCCGCAGTGGATTCGCATGAAAACGGGCAATAAGATCCGGTAAGGAGATCAGCGGCCTTCTTGTGAGGAACTGCGGCCTCATTCAGGCTGGCTGTGCGGTATGGACTGGAGTCAGCAGCTGATTGTGTAAAAGTGGTTATGGCAGCAAAAGTGCAGTTTTGTGCTTGCTAATACCATACGAGCATGGGAGTGCAGATGCACAACTCCACTGGATAGCGTTGGCCCGTTGGGTTTTCCCCAGGCAGCGTGGGGTTTCCATGCTGTTTCCTTCTGTAGCAGTTCATTTCATTCCAGTGCTCTGCATGTATCCACGGGTGTTCAGTGATGGCACGAATGAAGTGAAAGCATGCACTGTACATGCGTGTAACTTATTCCAGAACTTGTACCCCGATATTCTCTCTGCTTCTGATGTTCCCTTCCTAACACCTTTCCAATCTCTCCTACTTGTCCCTCTGGGTTCCTGCGTTTTCAAGGAACAGTATGTTACGGAGCATGGGTGTCCTGAGAACGTTGTGTGTAAGGGAGCAAAGGGCTTGTTGGGTGTATGGGAGCTAAAATTGATAGTGTAAGATCCTTGGCACATGACTGCAGAATTAATTTGCAACTGTTCCTGTTTGTTTGCTGATAGTGTGTGTGTTCAAGCATTGTGCTTAAAAAAATAAATGCAATAAGAGAGTACTGTGGAACACTAGGTAACTGTGAGGCATGCAGAAGAAAGTAGTGAGGAGAGTGATAGTAGCAGTGCCTGGCTCAGGCAGTGAAATGGCTCAGAATTGCCAGGCTCTGCTCCTGCTACTTCTCACCTGTTTCTTTCTAGGAAAAAATCAGTGTTGTGTGCCCCAAACTGTATTCTTGTCTTCCAGTTACGGACTTACAACGGGGTTCTGTATTAGCTAAATTGCAGTACTTTGGAATACTTTATCATGAGGCAAAATCATGAATTTTTGTCTTGTGGCACTTAAGCACCTTGGTCATCAGTTTTGTCCAAACTGTGTGCTAAAGCAGGCTGCAATTA